ATGTTTGAATATTTGTATAAATAATAATAAATTATTAAGAAATAAATCATTTCCTCAATAAGTGATTGACTTGGTGATTTTGGTGTTTAATTCTGAGTTCAGTTTTTTCAGTTTGTTTAGTGATTCTGTCAATCAGAGTGTTTTGTTCATCGATCTCATTGCCTAATCCTAACGATAATTGCTTTAGTCTTTCGATTCCCAAATCGATTTGATTTAAATTATCTTCTATTTTATCATTAGTTTCTTGGGATTCATGCCATTGTCTGAGAGTATCTTTCTGTGTACCACTCGTGTGACCACTTGAATGTGTCAATTCATTTCCATCTGTCGCACCACTAAATACAACTTTATTTGATTCACTTTTACTATGAATATTTGTCAAAGAATTGGTTGCTTTGATTTCAAAGTTATTGATCTCTTCGAGGAATTGATTTTGATTTGAACTTTTATTTGAGTTATTATTAGTACTCCTTTTCTTTGAAAAAATGCCACCAAAACCACTAAAAATACTTTTCATGGATTTGATATGTTTTTGTGTCTCATGTAAACTGCCGTCAATTGACTCCAACTTGTCTTCCACTCTATTCAATGTCTCTCTCTGTCGGACTAACTCTCGTCCGGTTTTAACACCAATTCTTTCGCTTTCAAGAATCAAACCCAACGTCTCTTTCGAGCTCTCCAGAGACTCCTCTTCTATGCGTGTCTTCTCTTCAAACAACTCTCTTCGTGTGTCTCTCTTATCACTTGAAGACAAATCTTTTCCCAAATTCTTCCCAAAATTCTCTTTCAATGAATTTTTATTATCAATATTTGAATCCATTTTTGTGTCAAATTTTTTCGCCACTAATAGGATTGAATTCTCTGTATTAATAACTTTGATATAAATATGAGTTCAATAATAAAACACAATAATTGCAAAATTAATTGTAATAAAGCGAATGGATGTCCAAACACAGTGAAAACGAATAAATGATTGCATTCAGTATTAAAAGACAAAAAACACATTAAAACTAATGTATAGTAGAGGGCAATGAATTGATCACTAATTGTCTTACAATTGACAAACAAATAAACAAATTTATTTTAATATAATTTATGATTTGACACTTTGTTTAATAAAAAACATTTATTCAGTATATAGTACACATTTTCATTATTTTTAAATATAATTTATTAACAATTAAAAATTGTTTGGCAACGAATCAATTCATAGGATATTGCAATAAAAGGACAGAAAATGTATGATATATTGAAATTTTGATGAATAGCTTTCAATAGTATTCATTTTAACTGATATTCCGGTTTTGTTGTGACTTTATCAGTGAAATTGAGATAATTTCCTATAAATATTTAATACCATAACTGATAAGAAAGCACTCAAATGTGAAACAATTGTGAGTCAAACAGCAATTGTTTTATTATTTCATAACTTTTAAACAACTATTATATTCACTCCATTAGTATTGATTCAGCCGTTAATTGAATTAATCATCAAAATTCCAATATTTTACAAACTTTTATCTTATAATAACAGACATTAATTACAAATATTTATTTAGAATTAGACCCGGCTTATTATAATAAAATTATTGTTTAGATTTATATTATTAAACGACAAAACCTGCTATAAATTATTCATATAAAGTGTGAAATTAAACTCTATTTTATTAGTATTTAGTCTAACGTGTAAACAAAAGGAAGTTTTTACATTAATTGTCTACATTTCAGTATAATTGCAATTTTATCACTTAAATGTCACACATATTGTCTACTAAACAATATTCTCATGTTATAATTTATAACTGATAAAAATATGTATCAGGAATAACTGTAAGGAATTTGTTAACTCTAATAATTATTGTGAATTTGTCTTAAAAAATTCTCATTAATAATTATTGTGTCATATATTTAAGAAAACATCGAAAATAATGACATAGCTTGATGAATCACAAGTTCCTACGGTATTAACTTGCTAGATAAGTTGCTTGTATCACAAAATGCGTGAACATTATTATTATAGATGTCTCTCATATGTGTTGAGCACATGTTTGGCTATTAATAATGTTTACAAACATTTGACACAATTTTTGGACACAAATTGTCATTTAGTTGACAGTGAAATGCATTTGAAAAAGTTATTACTTTTGAAATACTTATTAACAATAAGGAGACGCAAAAAGTGTGCACTAATTGTCACACTTTTCATAGTAATTGCAATTTTCATAATAAATAAGTTCACGAAATACTCAACAAATCAAAAGTGCAATGAATTGCGAGCGAAGGCTATGAATGAGATTTGTTTGTCGTATAAAAGACATGAATTTACCGGCGATTTGTGTCAACCATTGTGTGACACGAAGACATTGCAACTCACGGACTGTCCCAACATTGATGGCCATAACGGCAAGGATTACGTCTTCGTCGGCCACTTGTATGACAAGCAAAAGGTCCACAAAATGGTATTAAAGGCCAGAACTCTAACCACTTTTGAATTGATTG